TTTTTTTTTTTTTTTAAAGATACAGAGTCTCAGTTTGTTGCCCTTGGTAGAGTGCTGTGGCTCACAGCTTACAGCAACCTCCAACTCTTGGGCTTAGGTGATTCTCTTGCCTCAGCCTCCCAAGCAGCTGGAACTACAGGCGCCTGCCACAACACCCGGCTATATTTTTATTGTTGCAGTTTAGCTGGGGTCAGATTTGAACCTGCCACCCTCGATATATGAGGCCAGTGCCCTACTCACTGAGCCACAAGCGCCACCCCACATTTCATGTCTTACCAGTAAGACCTTGGTTGTATCACAGATCATTTAAGTTTCCACACATGGAGTAGTTCATGCTTCAAATATTACAATGGCATAATGGAAAAAACAAATCTTTAGAAATCTTTCACTGTTTAGATGTAGCTGGTGTTTAGACTTTTGAATCCTCAGCTGATAACAGCAACTAAATAGTCGTTATACAGAGATGTTACAGAGAGAGCCACTATAAATAATTTCTATGGCTTTTCTATTATCTTTAAGGTATAAAAGATATCTACATAATCATCACTGAAAAGTTAAAAAATTTAAAGTTAAAAATTAGAACGTACCTTCTCTCATCCATTCTTCAGAAGTAATCACCAATGACAATTTATTGTGTGTATTTCCAGGCCTTTTTCTGCATGTACCAGTAATAAACACCAAATCTTTATACATATCTATTATATATATACACATGTACATAAACATTAAAAAGGCTTTAACTTACTGTATTCTGCTTTTTTCACACTTTTTTTCTTCTTTAACTTTTCCCCCATCACAGATCTCTTTTTCTGTGCTGGTACAGGTTGAGTATCTTTTATTCAAAATGATTGGGGCCAGAGTGTTTTAGATTTCTGGGTTTTTTGGATTTTGGAATATTTCCATTATATATACTTGCTGGTTTAGGATTCCAAATCTGGAAATCTGAAATACTCTAGTGATCATTTCCTTTGAGCATTACATCAGTGCTCAAAAAGTTTCAGATCTTGGGAGATTTAGGATTAGGGATGGCTCAACTTATATAGGTAGGTCTTCCTTCCTTGTTCTTTTATTGTCTGCATTGAATGGGTATATACATTAATTGTTTTATTTTTTAGGGGCATTTATGATGGCTCCATTTTACATTATTATAATGCAGCTGGGAGTGTCTTTGGAACACAACTATTTTTATGCATTCTAAAGTGAACTGCAAAGGTCAAAGAGCTCATATGAAATTTTTATTTTATTTTAATGAATGCCTATTTAAATTTTATTTTTGAATGTATTCATCTTTCAGGAGAACTCTCACCCTGCTCTTCAGCAGCCTGCACTCCCAGTGAAAGACTCAGTACAAGGTATACTTTGTTTTCTAGTGTACGCATTTATCCACTAGAACAGTGGTTCTCAACCTTCCTAATGCTGCCTCCCTTTAATACAGTTCCTGTAGGTCGCGACCCACAGGTTGAGAACCACTGCACTAGAATGACAAATTCACTTTGACTGTGTGCATTTAAGCAGCTGAATATACTTATAAATTGTGGCTTTAGGTCATAGTTGGTAATGATATTTGGCTTTGTTTTTAATTTCTTCTTTTTATCTTTTCTTCCTTCCCTCACTCCCTCTTGTCTTTCCTGCCTTCCTTCTTTCCTTCCTACGTTTTCTGTACTGCTTTCAGAAGTGACTAAAGTTCGAAGAAATCTCTTCAACCAGGAAATGCTTTCTCCTTCAAAGAGGACACTAAAGCAGGGGTTGCCTAGAAGCCATTCTTTGTCAGCTGTGGAAGGTCTAGAGGATAAACTTGACAATTTCAAGAAAACTAAAGGTACTACATCTCAGGGTAACCAAGAAAAAGGGAGTTCTTTATGTAAGTTTGGTAGTAATGGTTCCCCCTTTCATTGCAGATTTGTTGGAGTTTTCCCCCTTTTTTTCTTGGTTCATGCTAAAGATTTGTCAATTTGGTTGCTCTTTTCAACAAACTTACTTTGATTTCAATAGACTTTTCTCTGTTGTTTTGATAATCTCTATTTCATTCTTTTTTGTTATTGTTATTGAGATAGAGTCCCTCTCTGTGGTCCTGGGTAGAATGCCAGGGCGTAGTAGCTCACAGCAACCTCCAACTATTGGATTTGAGCAATTCTCTTTCCTCAGACTTCCAAGTGGCTGGAAACTATAGGTGCCCGCCCCAACACCTGGCTCATTTTTCTATTTTTAGTAGATATGGAATCTAGCTCTTTTTTTTTTTTTTTTTGAGACAAAGCCTCAAGCTGTCACCCTAGGAAGAGTGCCATGGCATCACAGTTCGCAGCAACCTCTAACTCCTGGACTTAAGCAATTCTCTTGCCTCGGCCTCCCAAGTAGCTGGGACTACATGCACCTGCCACAGCACCCGGCTATTTTTTTGGTTGTAGTTGTCATTGTTGTTTGGCAGGCCCAGGCTGGGTTTGAACCCACCAACTCTGTTGTATGTGACTGACACCTGTAGCTCAAGCAGCTAAGGAGTCTCATTCTTGTTCAGGCTGATCTAGAACTCCTGAGCTCAAGCAATCCACCCACCTTGGCTTTCCAAAGTGCTAGGATAACAGACATAAGCCACCGTACCCAGCTTCATTATTTCCTTTTTTTCTACTTGCTTTGGTTTTTTAAAGTGAAGTTTATTTATTTGAGACTTTTTTAAGTACTGGCCTTTACAACTATATGCTCTTTCTTCACCTTTCTCTCTATCCTTCTAGGACTCCCAGAATGTGTATGTTATTATATGTAATGATACCACAGGTGCCTGAAGCTGTTTTCAACTCTGGAATTTTTACTTCTTTTTTATAATTTCTGTCTTTTGATATTCTCTGTTTGGCAAATCATCAGTCTCATACTTTTCTTTAGTTCTTTAGATATAGTTTTCTTTATTTCTTGGAAATATATAAAAATAACTGTTATAAAGTCTTATTTGATAAATCTAATGTCTGGACTTTCTCAGGGACAAAGTCTATTAACTGACTTTTTTTTTTCCTGAGTATGAGCCCTATTTTTTGTTCCTTTCCATGTCTCATAATTTTGTTGACAACTGAATGTTTCAAATCGTATAGTTAGGCTCGGCGCCTATGGCTCAAGTGGCTAAGGCGCCAGCCACATATACCTAAGGTGGCGGGTTCAAATCCAACACGGGCCAGCCAAAACAACAATGATGGCTGCAACCAAAAAATAGCCGGGCATTGCAGCAGGCACCTGTGCTCCCAACTACTTGGGAGGCTGAGGCAGGAGACTCGCTTGAGCCCAGGAGTTGGAGGTTGCTGTGAGCTGGGATGCCATAGCACTCTACCCAGGGGGACAGCTTGAGGCTCTGTCTCAAAAAAAAAAAAAAAATTGTATAGTTAGGCAAATAGTCAAATAGTTAGGCAACCCTAACAATCAGATCCACCCCAGGCCCCCTCACCACCTCCCCAAGGTTTGTTGTTATTGCTTTTACTTTTGTTTGTTTAATGACTTTTTTTTTTTTTCCAGTTTTTTGGCTGGGGCTGGGTTTGAACCCACCACCGCTGGCATATGAGGCCAGTGCCCTACTCCTTTGAGCCACAGGCACTGCCCTGATGACATTTTTGAACTATTTAAATTCTGTATTCTTTATAATACACAGGCACTGAAGCCTCTGTGTGGTTGTCTTAATGGTCAGCTAAGGATTGGACAAGGGACCTTTGTACATGTTGAGTCATGCCTTCAATACTCAGCCAGGCAGTTTACACCTCCACTTTGCTTTCTGCTTTCCCAGAGCCTTAAGGGTAGCCAGAGCTGACAGCTCAGGGACTTCTCAGGCACAGGCATAGCTCTATAATGCAAATGGACTTTTAGGTACATAGGAATATGTGAGAGGTTTCAAAGGCACCTGTGAACATCTCATTCTCCAACTTTCCATGTTAAACTTTTTGTCAGCTTATTATTTACACTAAATGTTATTGCCACCTTGGGTAGCTGTGATATTTAACAGTTGTTGCTGATTGTTTATAGTAAATGGTCCTCAAGAATGGGTTTTTGAGAAACTGCCAGACAAATCAAATAATGACAGTTAGGTGAGAATTGGGCTTTGTAGGAAGTCCCACCTCATTCTTCCCCCATCTAGAGACTGCTGGTTTTTACTATGATTATGGGCTCTTTGGTTTGGGGGATTTTTTTTGTCTGTTTGTTTGTTTTTGAGGCAGAGTCTCACTATGTTGCCCTCAGTAAAGTGCTGTGGCAGTGCAGCTCACAGCAACCTCAAACTTTTGGGCTCCAGCGATTCTCCTACCTCAGCCTCCCAAGTAGCAGGGACCACAGGCGCCTGCCACAATGCCTGGCTACTTTTTGTTGTTGTTGCAGTTGTTTAGCTGGCCCGCCATCCTTGGTGTATGTGGCTGGCACCATAACCACTGTGCTATGGGTGCCAAGCTCTTGGTTTTTAAGACTGCCACAGGGCTAGTGAGAGGAGCTAGACACATAGATCCTCAAACTTTTTAAACAGGGGGCAAGTTCACTGTCTCTCAGACCGTTGGAGGGCCAGATTGTGGGCCCTGGGACTAGTCAGCTGCTAAGCAGGACAGGCAGCAGCTGCAAAAGCACGGGGTGGGCCGGATGTGGCCCATGACATAGTTTGAGGATGCCTGAGGGCAAGTGAAAGCTCCACAAAGCTTACAGTACTGAGATTCAGCCATTTTCCTTGAATAAGTACTCCCTAGATTAGTTAAACTCCAGAGTTCTGAAAAATGTAAATTTGCAGCTATTTTTGCCAGCGTTCTCATTCATGTTACAGAGGAGGATTTGTTTGTAGGTCCTCATGTATCATTCCTGCTGTCATTCCTCTTGCTAATCTTTGTTTTTATATATATATATATTTTTTTTTTTTTTTTTTTTGAGACAAAATATATAAAAATAACTGTTATAAAGTCTTATT